TCAAAAGAGACCAATCCTTGGAGAAGGACATCGTATTTGGTAGAGATGCAGCAACAAGAGAAGACCCCCATAGAGATGGGTTGACTCAGTGCTGCAACAATTGGCTCAAATATTGGGACAGTTGTGAGGCTGGTGAACTGTTCCTTGAGGTTGTGCCTAAGGGTGCTGTGGTTTGGAACTGACAACCTTTAGCACAAGGAGACCTGGTGGTATAGTGGTGACAATTTGGACTGCAATCTGTAAGGTTGGCACTTAGAAACCACTAGCGATTCTGTTGGAGAAAGAGAGGGCCCTCTTCTCCAGTAAAGAGTAACAGCCTCAGAAACTCACAGAGGCGGTCCTACCCTGCCCTGGAGGGTCACTATGAGTTGGCAGCCTCTCAATGGCAATGTTTGGTTTGGTTGTCTTTACCACAGTGTTGCACTCCAAGAATATGTATTTCCAATTTCTGGCCAGTGCACCTCAGGTGAAGCCGCCATGCATCTGTCAGTGGAGGCATGCATGCGACTATGATGTAGAAAGCATTTAGTAGAGCTTCCAGGCTGAGTGTGAATAGGAATTAAGCCCTAGTAATTTACCTCCAGAAGTGAGTCGACGCAACACAGACAGTCTCAGAAACTCACAAAGCAGTTCCAACCTGTCCTGTAGGGTTGTTATGAGTCAGCTTTGACTTGATGGCCGTGAGTTTTGGGATCCTGATATTTTGGTAACATATCATATTGGTAACATAACATAACATAACATAACATATTTGGTAATTTTATTTAGTTTGAAAACTAAATAAAAGAAGAGTTCTAGTTGTCTTTAATACAAAAACATGAACTAATGCATCAGAACATATGTTACAAATATAAGATGTAAAGGATCTTGCTTACATCCACTTTTCAGTATTAACGCTTATGAAACCATTTTTAAACACTGCAAATTCAATTGTGATCACAGTCCTGGATTCACGACAGTATGTTACAGAACAGGCTGAGAGTGATTGTGTAAATTGGGACAATGAGCCTCGCAAGGTCTGGGGGTGGCAGTTTCAGCTTTATCATTGTAGTACAGCGAATGTGATTCCTAGCAGAAATGTGGCAATATCTGGATACATTGTTAAATGTCTTAAAAATCTACCGGGGCAGCTCTACTCTGCTCTCCAGGATCTCCGTGGGTGCGCATCCGTTGAATGGCAATGAGTTCGTTTGTTTGATTTCTCACGCAGTGGTGGTGGTGGTTCAGGTGTTCTTGACTTAGTTCTAACTCATAGCAACCCCTCTGGACAACTAAATGAAACACCACCCAGTCCCGCACCCTCTTCACTGCTGTTCTTACGTTTGAGCCCATTGTTGCAGCCACCGTGTCAATCCATCCCGTGGAGAGTTGTCTTTTTCACTGCCCCTCTACTTCACCAAGCATGACAACTTTTGCCAGGGCCTGGACTTGCCTTATAACATGTCCAAAGTACATGAAGTCTTTCCTTTCTTGCTTTAAGGAGCAGTCCGTTTGTACTTCTTCCAAGAGATACCTGTTTGTTCTTTTGGCAGTCCGTGGCACTTCCAATATTCTTTACCAGCAGCATAAATCAAATGCATCAATGCTTGTTTG